CGGCCCCGCCAATTTTATCTATCCGGCGCCACCGAGTTCAGTTGACATAACCACTGCGACAAACCCTAATCACTTCGATCTCACCGATGGGATCTCGGTCTCACCGAGATGGGATTGCAAACTCTCTGTTTCCCTTCGTAATGTTTCGGTCTCACCGAAATGAGCGATCGGTCCCACCGAGTTTGCAATGCAAACTTACTGTTTCCTTTTCATAACGCTTTGGTCTCACTGAAACGAGCGGATTGGTGCCACCGAGTTTGCCTGAGCAACTCTCTATTTGCCTATTACTAAAATCGGTACCATCGAGTTTATGTGATTGGTCTCACCGAGATCAAGTTATGCCCTAACCCTGGCACATTGGTCCCACCGAGTTGATTGTATCGGTCCCACCGAAAACCCTAACGTTCATATTTTGACCTGGATCGATCTGGCCAAGTTTCTTGATTCGGTCCCACCGAGTTTGGGAATCTGTGTGTAAGGTTAGATTTTGTGTGGAGGCTATATATACCCCTCCACCCACTCTTCATTCGTCGAGAGAGCTATCAGAGCATATATACACTTCCACTACTCATTTTCTAAGAGAGAACCACCTACTCATGTGTTGAGACCAAGACATTACAATCCAACCATATGAATCTTGATCTCTAGCCTTCCCCAAGTTGCTTTCCACTCAAATCATCTTTCCACCATAGCAAAATCTGTGAGAGAGAGTTGAGTGTTGGGGAGACTATCATTTAAAGCACAAGAGCAAGGAGTTCATCATCAATACACCATCTATTACCTTTTGGAGAGTTGTGTCTCCTAGATTGGTTAGGTGTCGCTTGGGAGCCTCCGTCAAGATTGTGGAGTTGAACCAAGAAGTTTGTAAGGGTAAGGAGATCGCCTACTTCGTGAAGATCTACCCAAGTGAGGCAAGTCCTTCGTGGGCGATGGCCATGGTGGGATAGACAAGGTTGCTTCTTCGTGGACCCTTCGTGGGTGGAGCCCTCTGTGGACTCGCGCAGCCATTACCCTTCGTAGGTTGAAGTCTCCATCAATGTGCATGTACGATAGCACCACCTATCGGAACCATGCCAAAAATCATGTCTACAATTGTGTTTGCTCCCTCCAAACTCCTCCATTTACCTTCATATGCAATGATTTACATTCTGCTGCTATACTCTTTGAATTGCATGTGTTAGGTTGATTTCTTGACTAGTGCTAAGTTGCTAAAATCTGCCAAGAACAAAAATTGGGAAAAGGTTAAGTTTTTATTTGGTCAAGTAGTCTAACCACTCCCCTCTAGACATACTTTCGATCCTACACCAGCACCAAGCGGAGCGCCTGTGCGACGATCATGAACAGAACACGAATCAAAGTCGAGAATGACCCTACAACTAGAGTCAACAATCTAACCACCAAATATGAGCCGCATGGTAAGTCGAGGAACATGAGCTAGAGAGGGAACATGAAAAGAAGAAGTGGTAAGAGTGCTTCGACTAGCTACAGAGAGGGGAGTGCCATTAGCCGTAAGAACACAAACATGAGACTCGACATGTTGAACGGAGGTCAAAATTGAAGAATCACAAGACATGTGAAAAGATGCTCCCATATCAAGAATCCATGGGGATGTACCTGAATGGGTAGAAGGTGGTTTCTTAGTGCCAGAGGAGTCCGTTACGGAACCTCCAAAACCTGTCGATGAAGAGTCCCAAGCAGCAAGCAGGCATCGCAGCTGCGCAATCTCATGCGCAGACAGGGACACGACGGAAGAGGTCGAGGTAGAAACACCTGCCGACGATGAGCAGTCGCCACCAGACATGGAAGTCGCACGTAGAGTCGACCGAGAGTAGCGGGTAGACGTAGAGCGGCCATCACTGTGTGAGGAGTCGCCATAGAGCGACAACCTTCAAACACGGAAACCGATGAAGCAGGCGGACAAGCACCAAGTACCGATGGAAGGCACCTGCGCGAGACGAGATCAGTGTAGGGAACACCAATCACCGGAGACCGAGGAGAGACTATGCCCGATGACAACATAATGTCCTTTTTTACTCTCTCTCTCTTTTTTTTCTCTTTCTCTTGTTCTCTCTCCCTCTCTCTCTCTCTCTCACGAGCTAAAGAACCGATCGGTCAACCCCGGATGGGATAGAACGAGCTAGGAAGCAGACACGCTCGGGGGACGGGATGACCAACGCCACACAAGGGGCCACGGCGGGGCGCCGACAGCCAGACGAGGGCCACCGCCAGGAGGAGTCGCGGCGGGAGGACAAGGGAGCCGCCGGATCGATGGCGGGAGCGGACGGGCAGCTGGCGGCGACAGGCGGACGGGGCGGGCCTGGGAGTGCCGACTGGCAGAGAGCAGCGGGACCTGCGAGAGCCGGCCTCCAGCGGTAGCGGCCCGACCAGGGAGAGCCGAAGGCCAGCACGCAGTGGCCTGACCTCGAGCGGCTATCAGAAACGAGGCAGCGTCAGCGGCGGCGGCGGGCCGAACCAAATCCCGGCGGAGGGCAGAGGGCGGTAGTGGAAGCCGACAGCAAACAGCAAAAGGCGGCATGGCGGCCAAAACAGGTCAGAGGCGGGCGTATCGATCTGGGATGCAGGAACCAGCGATCGGAACCGACGAGGGACGTCGGCTGGGCGCGGAATCAACGACCTCCTTTGTCTAGATCCCGAGATCGATCTCTCATGGACGGGAATCGAGGAACAATGGCCAGGCAGAATAGAGCAGCGGCAGCAAAGGAAACGGCACGCACGAGAGGCAACAACCAAGCAGAGGCAGGAGACGATTTGGAGCAGCGCGGCCGGGAAAGGATGATCGCGGCAGTGTGATTGGATCGAGCACGAGTTGCAGCGTGCGAAAAAAAACCATAAAGCTCTGATACCATGTTAGGGAAATATTGAACTTAGTATTATCAGGAAGCAAAAGCCATCATATATACATGTACAGGGGATGCCAAAGGCCAGAATACAAAAGGCCAAATGCCACAATAAATATAACTCAAACACTGATACGTCTGCGTCGTATCTACTACTTCTAACGTTTTTCCTCTTATTTTGGATTCTAATTTGCATGGGAATGCCAAATGCCAGAATGCAAAAGGCCAAAGACCACAATAAATATAACTCTAACAATATTCATTTTGAAACATTTCATCAGCAAGAGGATGACGCACAACAAAGTGGCCCGCTTAGCTTTGGTGAATATTCACATGCACATATCCAATTGCTTTCCAGCAGAAGGGCAGAGCTCTTGCCGGTTACTCGAAATAAAGAAAAAAATTGAAACGAATGGAGCAAGAACTAAGAATCAAAGACTTGATACAATGAGAAAACTTGACCACAAGATCATGGAAGGGACGCAAACGTGTGTGCATGCATTTACGTACACACACACACACAAAAAAACGAACATATATAGGCCCGGTCATAGGTTAGGTAGCTCACGCGACTTGTGATTTCCCTGCTTGCTTCCGGAACATGACTAGCAACGTTTACAAATAGCCAAACTGATCCACCGGATTGCCGCTAATTTGAAAACTGCCCTCGTTTGCATGTTGCAGCTTCTCCATATTTTGGTACCGACGAGACTCCGTTGCGGCTGTGGAGTAGGCCATAGCTGCCAGTTACTAAGAAGGGCATGCACTTGGCCTGAATCGGGAAATGGAAATGCAGCTCATCAAGGACCATTGGGCGCGCATTTGCTCAATGAGAAGTAGCTGGAGAAGTGGTTATATTACTATATCTACTCCAGTCAAGTTGATCTCTGTAATTCTTTCAATTGGGGAAATACTAACGTTAGGATGAGGCATGTATATGGCTTGCCTTTAGAAAAAGGTACACATGTTATTTATTATTCAGACATTAATTTACAACATACAAAGTAATTTGCGAGAAATGATATTTTACCATGTATGTGATATATCGTGTATGGATGCACACTCCTTTGTTGCTATGAGATTCGTGCTATGTTCTTTTTCATATAAAACAAAGTGAAACTTTAATCTTGCAACAAACAAAAAAGTCGTGCTATCAGGGTTAGAGCATCTCCAATAGGTGTCCTATAATAGGGCCCAAAAAGGTGGTTGGAGCAAATTTTGCAACACCCCAAACTGATATTTTACAACACCAAAGACCTCCAACTCCAATAGATGCCCTAAAAAAGGGCACCAGTATTGACGGAAATGCTTAGGATGGCCTCCTTGACGCATGCCGACTGCTCGTCGGAGCAGAGATAGTCGCCATGCCGGTGTTGAAATGCCTAGGAAGTCCTCCTTGACACCTTTCGGTCGAGTGTTGACCAAAAATCTGGCAACTTCGGACGCCGACCGAAACAACGGCCACTCGACTCGGTCGCGGCGGTGGCGTGGCTGCCCGCAGAGCTCCAGCAGCCCCTAGTCCAGCTACAGACGACGGTGACGAGCTGCGGGGGGCATCACGGGCTACCGTGCTCCGGCCAACAGTCGCATCACCCGAAGCACGCCACCGCGGTGGATCCCAAATCGACTGTCGACGCAACTTCAATGACGGGGTAGTGTGGCGGGATCGCGTCGGAGTAGGGGGAGGGCGGGCGAGCGGCGGTTGTGGGCTTCGCAGATGAAATCACAGCAAGCGGTGGTCAGGTGGACGGTTGGTGGCTCGCGCGTGATGCAACTTTGTTTTACTCCACTAGCCCAAGTGTTGTATATTTGCAACACTTTTGGTGCCCCAAATTGGTGGTGGTGTATATTTGGGGTAAACGTCTTTACAGATATAGGACACCTATTGCAGCACTATTTTGGCTCCAAAAAGTGGTCCTGCCTTCCCGGTGAACAGCAGTAATAATACGCCGAAACGTGAAGGGCTCTCTGCTAAACTCAGCACCGTCACGCGGCTGGCGCGACGGTGGAGAGATCGATCGCTCGCCTTCCCGATATAAAACCAGGGACCCCTCTCGGCGCACCGATCCGACGGCCTCCGCGTCCGGATTGGCAACGTTCCAATTAATCACCAGGCCCTAAATCTCCGGTGCGCGCGGGTGCATGGCCGCGCCGCTGTGGCCGCGCGCCAATGAGAGCGGCGGCTGGCCGGAGCAGGGCGGCGCCGGGCCGGGGGCGAGGCGGCTGGCCACGGCGCTGCTGTTCCTGGCGGCCGTCGCGCTGCCGTGCCTCGTGCTGTACCGCGCCGTCGCGCCCGGCGGGGTGCTCGTCCAGCCCGCCGCCCGCCTGCCGTGGCTACAGGCCGGCGCGCCGCCGCACGACGACGACGACGTCGACCTGGTACGTACGCACATTACGGAAAGCTCGGGCCTTCCTCGTTGAATAGTCAATCAGTCGTAGTACGCCAGGGAGCCTCTCCACGCCATGCAAAGAGTCCAGAGTTCTTGGTCAATACTGTTTTTTTCCAAGTAAATACAAATTTGTTGCTTCTTGCGCATGATCACCAGAAAAGCAGGGCGTCCGGTTCTTTAGGACCATGTAATTAACTCTCCTCTCGCTTAGAATTCCTCTTCCACCAGAGTTAATTCTGAAGGCATATTAATTGTGGCGAGCCGATGGTTGATCCTGCATGCAAACCTCGATCGGGTTTTACAGCAGTAATAATCTGAAGGGCCCTAATCTGAATGGTCCTCCATTAGCTCATGAAACATATTTTCTTGCATGTTTAACTGTTTTTATGATATGAGTATGTCCATATTGAGAAGAATATTTCAGACTGCCAAATTAACCAACAATTTAATTAGCCAGGGCCAAGTTATTGCCACTACTCGCAAGTTGAAACTGCAGTTGCAAAGTGCAACCGTTTTTACGCGTGCAATTTGTAATTTGTTGCAAAGCTAATTACTGATATACTCAGCTGTGCTATTGTGCATGAATTTAGCTCTTTTTTTTTTTGAGACATATGAATTTAGCTAGCTAGTCGTGGAAACGAGAAAGAGGCCCAAAGAGCATGCAGTACGATAATGTTTTGGTTCGGTAGGCCACGAGAGTTTCACATCACATTGTGTAACCAAAACCGGTGGCTCATGCCATATGCCGCTCAGTTCACGTTCTCCACGCATGCGAGTCATACGAGTAATACAAGGGAACCATCTATTTTACAGATACTTTTAGAAAAAACTATCTACGTACTGTATTTTACAGTCGATTGGTCACGATCTGTTCTTTTTCTTTCTTTGAGATTGCCACCGTGGTTACCAGAATCCACACGGGCACGAGCTGATTTGATGTGCGCGCGTGTACGTACGTGCAGGAGAGCGAGAGCGAGGACGTGAGGCTGGAGCGAGTGCTCCGGGCGGCGGCGATGGCCAACGACACGGTGATCCTGACGACGCTCAACTCGGCGTGGGCGGAGCCGGGGTCCATGGTGGACGTGTTCCTGGAGAGCTTCCGGTTGGGCGAGCACACCCGGGAGCTGCTCGACCACCTCGTCATCGTCTCGCTCGACCTCGCGGCGCACCGCCGCTGCAAGCAGATCCACCCGCACTGCCTGGCGGTGGCCACGGAGGGCGTCGACTTCTCGGGGCAGAAGAACTTCATGACGGACGGGTACCTGCGGATGATGTGGCGCCGGATCGACTTCCTCCGGCAGGTCCTGGAGAAGGGCTACAGCTTCATCTTCACGGACACGGACATCGTGTGGCTGCGCAGCCCGCTGCCGCGCCTCTACGCCGAGGGGAACTTCCAGATCGCCTGCGACCACTTCACCGGCGACCCCGACGACGTCCTCGGCAACGCGCCCAACGGCGGCTTCGCCTACGCGCGCGCCAACACCGAGACGGTGGAGCTGTACCGCTACTGGTACGCGGCTAGGGAGCGCCACCCGGGCCTGCACGACCAGGACGTGCTCAACCTCATCAAGGCCGACCGCTACCTGGCCGAGGTGGGCGTCCGGATCAGGTTCCTCAGCACCGAATTCTTCGGGGGCCTCTGCGAGCCCAGCCGCAACCTCAGCGCCGTCTGCACCATGCACGCCAACTGCTGCGTCGGCCTCCGCCGCAAGATCGCCGACCTCACCCTCATCCTCCACGACTGGAGGAGCTTCATGTCGCTCAGGGGCCCCGACAAGCGCTCCGCCGCCTCATGGAGCGTGCCACGGAACTGCAGGCATGTTGCTTTCTGAATCTCATTGTTTGTTTGTGCTACTGTATGTTTCTTCCTTGCAGAGATGTTTTCTTCATCTGATGATATATGTCTTGTCCATACATACATGTGATGGTCGCTTTGCATTGCAGACTGGATAAAGTGGAGGAGTAGCACAGGCTGAGGATCATTTGTTACTACAGAAGAATGGTAGACACCGGATTCGTATGCGTTTAGCAAGTGATTAGCTGCTGACCGAGGAGACATGGAGGCGTGTCTGTAAAGATTGTGTTCTGACAACATCGGTGCTTTCTTGTTACTAGTACCGTAGCCCGTATATTCACATATACATTCACTAGATGGCAGTTGCCAAACCTAGTGACCCTGCTCAAATTGACTGATTGCAATCGAATGTAATCAAGTGCTAATTGAGCTGCTTTCCGACTCCTTTTGTTTTGTTTCGTTTTGACTGCTTTTCTTTTCTTTTCTTTTTGAGAAGAGGTGTGGAATCCTAAGGTTTCAGTTAGCAGAAACCAAGCAACTTAATCAGCTCAACCAAAGCTCTCTAATGAAAGAAATTACACTTATTCTTCGATACAACCCCCCTAAACACATCAACGCATGAGATTTCTTCGTACCCCTTCATTATAAAGGGTAGGATTGTCTTTTTCAAAATACTATATGGCGTTGGAGACACCCCTCGACTGGGCCGGCCCATTGATAAAAGGCTGCAGGGAGCACGACCCGAGATGTAAAAATTCACAAAATACATGCCGCTGCTAAGAATCAAACCACAGACCTCTTACATATGAAGTTTAGTCACTCACCAATCGAGCCGACTAATGTTTGTGAGTAATTATGAGAGTGCAAACTTAAGAATCTCTCCGGATGGATTTATCGGGCCTATGACCCGATATGGGAAGGCCACGAAAAACGCACAGAAGAAATTGGAAATAAATCTCAACTAATCACCGTTATTAATTAGGCCTATTAACTAATCTGTGCATGCAATGGCTACTGCCTGATCCAATCAAGAAGACCCATGCGCTAGCTTCCATAGAGAGACAAGGGAATGAAGGGACGTGCTTAAATGCAGCAGCCTTTTTTTTTTGATAAACTATGCAGCAGCCTAGTAAACATGGTACAAGTTTGGTGCCTCTCAGACCCGATAAACCTTAGTGGAGGGAGTAACACAAAGGAAATTATGAATGAATTTTTAAAAATTGAATAATGTTTCATAATCCAACTTTTTTTAAACCACTTGAACTCATTTTGAAAACGTCATTTTTCATAAAAGCATGAACATTTAAAAAATGAATAATGTTTTTTACAAGCATGAACATTTCAAAAAAATTAAGGAGATATGTTAGTTCAAAATGTTAAGAACATTTTTTCCAAGCAACATTTGAACACTTTTAAAGAAATATGAGGAGTGTGCAAACTTCAGGACTAACATTTTGAAAAAAATTGTTGAACACTTCATTTTTTGGCTTCTTATATGTGGCTAATGTAACTTTGTGAATTTTCGGGAAAAAAATCCGTGTGTTTTAACACCGGATTTTGTTTTGTTTTATTCTAGATTTTTTCATTTCCATTTTTTTTCATTTGTGGGAATTAAAAAAAACAAATTCTTGAACTTTCTCATTTTCTCTAACTTTTTGGGTGATTCTTTTTAAATCTGCAAAAAAATTCAAATTCGTGAACATTTTTTCAACATCGATGAACTTTATTCAAATCTGCGAACTCTTGGGCCGGCCCAACAGGCGCCCGGTCGGAGCGATGCCATCGCTTATCCGGGTGGTAGAAACCAAAAATTTGGTTTTGTACCATTCATTCATTTTACAATTTTGGTTAGCAAACCTAAAAACTAAAATGTCAACCCCATACAACAACTGAAGATGTCGACAAACAGCGTGCTCCTAGACAGAGCCTTTTGGCCTACACGGGCACCTTCCGTTGAACATGGTCTAGTTTTAGACATTCTTGAGACCACTCTAATTTTTGCTAGCAGATGGGCATGTGCATGGTAGGCATCTATGCCAGATTTGAACGATTCCGACACCTTATGCAAGTTGCATGACTTATTGGTCATTTTCACCAAGAAAACTCCAAAAAATGCAAGAATTGTCGAAAACTCAAACAATTTGAGATGGCGCCTTGAATTGGTCATAAAAGCTCATGAAAAAATTTGGGGTCATTTGAAGAGGCCAAAGAAAGTACTCTCAGACGGATCCCATGTGACCTACCCGAACAACCTCCATTGAACATGGTATATTTTTAGACATGCATGAAATGACCCCAACTTTTGCCAGTAGGTAGGCATGCCCATGGCATGCAATCATGCTCGGTTTGAACGATTTCCGACACCATACGCAAGTTGCGTCACGTTCGGCCATTTGTCATCCATTTTTCATCGAGAAAACTCCATAAATTGCAAAAAAAAAATCAAAAACTCAAACAACTTGGCATTGTGCCTTGAATTGGTTATATAAACTCATGGAATTTTTTAGGTCATTTCACGATGCCGAAAAAAAACGAGCTCTCATATAGACCCATCTCGCATACCCGAACAACCCCCGTTGAACATGATCTATTTTTTGGACATGCGTGAAATGACCCAACTATTGCCAGTAGGTGGGCATGCCATGGTTTGAACAAATTTTGACACTATATGCAAGTAACAAGTTGCATCACGTCCAAGCACGTATCAGCCATTTTTCATCGAGAAAACTCCAGAAAATGCAAGAATTGTTAAAACCTCAAACAACTTGGCATGGTGCCTTGAATTGGCCATTTAAGATTATGGGAAAGAATTGGAGTCATTTGAAGATGTCAAAAAAACATGCTCTCATTACGGCCCCTTCTGGGCTCCCCGAGCACCTCCGTTGAACATGGTCTATTTTTCGGACATGGATGAAATGACCCCAACTTTTACAAGCAGGTGGGCATTCTCATGGTAGGCATCCATGCCAGGTTCGAATTATTTCCGACACCATATGCAAGTTGCGTCACATCCGGCCATTTATCGTCCTCTTTTTACTAAGGAAAATCTAGAATTGCAAAAATTGTAGAAATCCAAAACAACTTGGCATGGTGCCTTGAATTGATCATACAAGTCAATAAAAAATGAAGTCATTTAACGGATGTTGAGAAACAACATGCTCTCAACGGAGCCTTCTCGCCTATCTGGAAACCTTAGGTTGAACATGCTATTTTTTTGGACATTCAAAAAAGGACATCAACTTTGGTCAATTGGTGGGCATGCACATGGTGAAGATGTGAACACTTTTTTTAAATTTGCTAGCATTTTTTCATATTTGCGAATATTTTTTGGAACTTCTTTTATTTTCTAGGGCCTAAGCATTTTTTTCTTCTCTTAATTTTTTGTTATTCTTCTCTTTTTCGTTAATTGATTTCCTCCTTCTTGAAATTTATTATTCTTTTTGAAACCTGTTCAAAAAATTGAAAATTTCTTTAGAATACCAGATTCTTTTCTCAATAGAAATTTAAAAAAATCTATAATTTCACAAAATGTTTGTGTACACTCATACAAACCCTTCTCTCCTGCGTGAACACTATCTGTTGAATATGGTTTATTTTTGGACATCCATGAAATGACCTATCTTTTGCCAGCAGAAGAGCATGCTCATAGTAGTCACCCATGTCAGATTTGAATGATTTCTGACATCATATGCAAGTTTTGTCACGTATGGCCATTTATCAAGTATTGCTCACTCACAAAACTCTAGAAAATGCAAAAAAGTCGAAAACTCAAATAAATTGGCATGGTTCATTGAATTGGTCATATAAGCTCACGAGAAAAATGAGGTTATTTGATGATGCTGGAAAAATGTGCCCTCATACGGACCCTTCTGACCTTTTCAAATTCTTTCATGTTCCCTTTTTCATTTTTTATTTTCATTTTCAAATTTATTTACCTTTATAAAAACTATTTGTGATTTCAATGTTTTTTTGGAAAATTCAAAATTGGTTCGTGATTTTAAAAAGTTGTTCAGCATTTTAAAAAGTCTTTGTTTTCAATTGTACTCACAAATTCAAAAAATGTACAGGATTTTCGAAAAATGTTATTTTTGTCTAGAAATTGTTCTGAATGTTAAATTCTTTCTGTTCACAATTTTTCTCAAAACTCTAATAATGTTCATGTTTTCTCATAATGTTTGAAACTTTAAAAAAATGTTCGGGTTTTTTAAAAATTGCTTGCGGTTTCCCAAAAAAAATTGAGTTTTTAGAAAATTCATAAAAATGCTCGTGTTTTCATATTTTTTTCGTAAATTCCAAAAATATACAAGAATTTCAGAAAAGGTTATTGTTTTCTAGAAACTTTTCAGAATGTTAAAATTATTTCTGTTTTCAATTTTTTCTCAAAACTCAAAAAATGTTTGGGAATTACTTATACTTTTAGCGCTTTTGAAAAATTGTTCAGAATTTCCAAAATGTTCCCCTTAACAAGTTTTGTTCTCTAAGTTCCAAAAATTTCCTCGTTTTTTCATAAATATTTAGGATTTTAAAAAATGGTTCCTATCACCAAAGTCAAGGTTTTTTTTTATTTTATTTTTCAAAGTTTGTTAGAGTTCTTGAAACAATCGCTGGATTTCAAACATTACTCGCTTTTTTTTTTAAAAAATCACAATTTCCAAGAGAAGATGAAAAATCCGAAAGCTGCCCGGATTCTGCGTTGGAGTTAATTCTTAAAGTGGTACGCTCTTTACTCGACACAAAAGTCTGTTGGCTTGACTGGTAAGTAGGTTCTTTTTGTAAGGTTGAGATGCAGAGTTCGAATCCATGCGAGGTCGCTCTTAATTATTATTTTTAGCGATCATATCGTTGTAGTAGGTGCGAGCGCTACTGCGGGCACCTTCTTGGGCCGGCCCAGTCGGGGGTATGCAGAGCGTATACAAGTACAAAGTGGTATACCATGTCAAAAGTCCATATTACCCTTTATACGTTTTATGTGGGGGGGTTGTACCGAAGCGGAACTCAAGAAATTAACATGGAGAGAAAATTCAGACTGTGCAGAAGGGTTTTCCTCATTACTGAAGTTTTACAATGATGGATATATTGATTGGGGACTAAGAGTGAGCTATAGATCACCTTGGGTCTCTCATCTGTTGTTTGCAGACGACAGTCTAATCTTCATTAATGCAAGTGCGGCT